TTTTAAGAAATATATGTATTTGCTTTCCAAGCACACACTTGGGTTGAAAATAAAATGTCAGGAAACAAAAGAGTTGAAAGGGCCACATTTAAGATACAAGCCAGCATTATGGGAAATATAGTATCTAGGATTTGTAAAGCTGGACCCCTACTAAAGACCATAATGAGAAGAGTCTTGAGAAGAGTCAACATAGCTGGAAGTGAATACTTGGGAAGTCAAATGTGTACGCTCCATGTCTTTCCTTAACTCTTTCCTTGTTGCATTTATGTGAGTACTCACAGTGGTGTTGTTGTGTGTTCAGACATCGACCTGCTGGCGGCCTGCAGAGAGGAGTTCCACCGCCGTCTGAAGGTCTATCACGCATGGAAGTCCAAGAACAAGAAACGCACCGATGACGGACCTGAGCAGAGGGCTCCTAAATCTATCACTGACTACGGTTTGTGGAGTCATTCATATCTGCATCATCCAGTTGCTCAACTCCTTTAATCACCGCATCACCTGTGGATATGTGCTGAAATCTATATATACACAGCACACCTCGCCCCAGGCACATGAAGTTACAGGTGACAAATGTTGATTTTCTCCACTTTCGCCCCCCTCTGTCATTGGCAGGAAGTGATGCCCTGCACACAAATAACTCGCCCGTGTTTCCTAACATTCAATTAGCCGACAAGACGCTAAGGCCTGGGAATGCAGCTGCCGTCTGTCTGGCTGTGTCAGAAATATTTGTTCTAATTAGCAAGTAACTGCCAGCCCTGCCTCGTCAGGCTGCTCTGACAGCTCGCTCTGCTCATTTCCTTCTCTACTCAGCCATGCATGGTCTGTGCCACAAACACACACAAATGTTATCGAGCAGCTTTAGAGCTTACTGGTCCTCTGCATTTCTTTCCTTTTCATCTTTAAAGCAAATATTACATTTGATGGGAACTTTTGATTCTCTGGTGCTTCTTCTTTCACTATTTACCCTCCTTTCTCTTTGATATGCCAGCTCCTGAAAGCTGTGCGGTGTTTGTCTTATAATCGGATCCTGTTTTGGCCTGCTGATGCAGCGGGGGTCTTATCAGGGGCATTTCATAAGAGGCTAAAAGCTGCTTTAGTGGGGCTTTTCCATGTGATATTTAGGGGAGAGTGGGGTAAGTTGAGCAATTTTTTAGTTATGCTGTCATCTAAGCAAGGAGAAATGACACATAGTCAAATGAAAACACACCTATAATTCAGGATGTCTCCTATCAATGGCAATGATAGGAATTCATATTTGATCAAGCGCAGTGAAAATATGACTTCTTAAAAAAAAGTGGTCTTGTGGCTCAACTTGCCCCGGGTTAGGGGTACTGTAAGTTGATCCAGGTCAGGGGGTAAATTCAACCACTCTTCAAACCTGGGCATACCTACTTAAAGGTAACTTTAAACAATAAATAACAAACCAAATACAAGTTTAGTTTTTCAAATATTTTTTATATACATTTCGATTGATTGATTTTTTTTGTAACATGTTAAAAGGAAAAGTAATCATACTTGATCATACTTGGTGATACAATTTCATACATCTTACCAATCAAACACAGGGTAAATTCAACTTTAAATGTAGCCTACAATGAGCTCTTATCATCAACTTGGCCTACTTTCATTCATTTCTCCATTGAAAAACTGGCTCAACTTACCCCAATGGCCCATGGTTCACTTTACCCCATAGCCACCATTTTAGAAAAAATAGCCTAGCATTAAAATTCAGAGTCATCTTTAGCTTAATGATTTTTAATGAACATGGTTTAATACGCTACCAACACATCAACATATACAATATATATGTTTAAACCTGGATACATTTTTTTGACATGACAGCTGATATAGCTGACATCTAGAAAATGTACTTTGACAAGCAAAAAAGTTTGTTTGTAAAATGTTTTACTTACCAGACCACAATGAGCATCTCTCTTTCATGGGAAATGGGAGGAGCTTGCATAATTTCTGGTCACGTGATTACAACTATAAGGCGTTGCCTGGTTACAGGGGGTGGTTTAATTTACCCACTGGCTCAACTTACCCCCTTCTCCCCTACTTGGGCCTTTCCTGGATCCTTTTTGATCTTTGTTTTGAAAGCTTTTGTAGATTTTTGTTCCTGCCCCACTCACCTTGTTCTGTGCCGTTAGCAAATGAGTATTATCTGGTTATTTAAGTTCAAATCACAGATGCTTTGTTGTGTATGCTTCTACTGTATGGAGATACACAACACTCTTCACATTAAATAGAAGTCTTATCTTACCTTGGACCTTGAACCTTATATTTTAATGGTGCGTCTGCAGCTGAGCAGAACCCAGCTCCTCCGATGGCGGCCCAGCACCAGGAAGTGGCCATGAACCGCCAGCAGAGATATTTCCGCATTCCTTTCATCCGGCCCGCAGACCAGTACAAAGACCCGCAGAATAAAAAGAAGGGCTGGTGGTATGCCCACTTCGACGGGCCCTGGATCGCCAGGCAGATGGAGCTGCACCCTGATAAACAACCGATTGTGTTGGTCGCAGGTGAGTCGGATGCTTTCACTTTTCCTAACACTATCACATATAGAGCCTCTCTAGAAAATCATGTGTATGTGTTGCTTTATATTTGGGGGGGGCACAATTATTATCAGTCATTTATTTAGTCCAGTGTTTCTTGACCTGTTTGGCTTGAGACCCCTTCAAATAAATCAACACTTACTCGTGACCTCATCTCAGCATATAGACTTCGTTTGGATAAGAGTTAGAAGCAATTAAATGAAAATACAGATCCAGATTGTTAAGTTTTAAAGATTTTTGAAGACCTAAATCGTGAAATACTGTTTAACAATGCAAACTGTTTACATAGAGCAAGTAGAAGTATTTTACTTACATTTATTTTTTATATTTGAGCGGTCCCACACGTCAAACACTTCTGGTTTGGACTTTAATAAGAGAAAATTGTGAAAATGATGTCTTCCAATCACTTTTGTTCTCTTAGAAACTGTCCAAAATGTCTATGTTAATCAATCAAAGGAAGCATCAAAATGCTTAAAATCCCTGAAATAATTGTGTAAATGAAGTCATTATTTTAGCCTTACTTGACTTGATCTATACACAGGAGTTACAGTAGGTGAACAAATGGATGATGATACTTGTGCACCACACATCAGTAAACCTATCCTTATTGGTCCACCTCTCAGGGAAAGACGACATGGAGATGTGTGAGCTGAGTCTGGAGGAGACGGGTCTGACCAGGAAGAGGGGCGCGGAGATCCTGCCCCGGCAGTTTGAAGAAATCTGGGAGCGCTGCGATGGGATTCAGTACCTCAAGAAAGCCATCGAGAACAAGCAGGCCCGGCCCACGTACGCCACCGCCATGCTCCAGAGTCTCCTCAAATGAGGCAGCAGAGGAGAGCGTCCAGAAACCTGACACTGACACAGACTCACACACATGCACATTCAGGGGCAGAGTGCCTGTGGTTTGTGGGATAAATAGAAGTAAGCACAGAGAAAGAGGCTCCTTATAGAATCTTACTGTATGTACTCATCTCAAAAGTCCTGCTTGTTCTTTATGTTCACTTTTTATAACTTCATTTGGCTGTGTGACACCCTATTTGTCTAGCATTAGAATGTCAGTCTTAGTACGATCACACTGTGAGGCCTTAAAATGAATTATCACTGCACTACACCCAGCAAGTCTTAACATGTGTGTAGCTTATCTAACTATTAACCCAAAAACCTTAATGGTCCGCAAAAGGGACGATAAATTAGACGCAAGAAGAAAGAAAATATTTAAAAGTGTGAACAAGTCTATCAAGTCATAATTCATAGTCTATATTTATATTATATACATACAACATATATATTTCTATAGTTATCTTATACTGTATTTCATATATTTCAATCGTCCATCTACTTACATTTTGACAAAGAAACGGGACAATCATGTGATCAACTTTATAAATGCCCACTAACTCCATATAGTCAACAAATGCAGTGTTAAAGATAGATGAATGCGTTTAAAGAACTGTGGTTGAATATCATCTTAGTCTTTATGTTTCTGCTGCGTCTACAATTCAGTTAAAATCCCTGAAAAAGGGAATCTCTTTTTTTGTATTGTTGTTCATTTGTTATGCAAGAGGGAAATGTGGAAGTTAGCTTTACGTTTGCAGTTTTGTGGATTGTTTTGCAGACAATGTCTTTTGTGTGTGTGGGTTATGTGTGTTCATGTCATATTTCTGCAAGCTCATTACTTGAGTCCTTTGTTAGTTAGACCAGGAACATCTCATTGGTTAAACCATGCAGTACCTTCCTTTAGGCTTACAATTATGTACTGAAAGAGAGAGTAGCCTAATAAAACTGATTAACTCAAAACAAGAGCTGGTTACACGGCCTTTGTACTGGAATACTGTAGAAAATAAATGTGTGCCCCCCATGTTCCTGGTTTCTTCTTCTTTCTTAGTAACTATAGATACCTGACAAGTGAGAAGGAGTTAATTCTGTGGTTAGTGTTAGGGAAATGGATCTGACATCTAGCAGCTAAAGAGATTAGCGTGTAGATTAATTAAACAACAAAGGCTAATGTGAGGCTGATGTCGTCACTAAGCTTAGGTCACTCACATTAAGTCATCAAGTGGATTAAAAGAGATTTAAGGTTCTCTTTTGTCGACATTTACTTGATATTTTTCTCTTATAAACATAGAAAAAAAGAAATGTATGAACCTTAAGTGGACCTTGATTTGACTGCCAACATGTTTTGTACTTAAGGGCCTCTTCAGTGCAGATTTCTTAATATTATAGGTGTTGGAGCTACACCTTTGAATTTGAAGCAACAATTGTTAAGTAGACGTGTCCTTGACTTGCATTCAAACACTTTTTGTACTTTCCTCAAACAGAGATGGTTGACTTCATACTTTAACTCATCAATAACAACTTTTTAATTTGACACAATGAAGCTCAGACATCTTTAAGATGTCAAAAAACAGACAATTTATTTTTAATGCAAAAACATTTTTATTTGTTTGCTTTTAAATGCAAAATGTGTAAAAAAAATCCAGATCTCAAAACAGAGGTGATTAGTTGGAAGAGTTGTTTTGAGAAGGACAGACTGAAAAATACAGGTTAGCAGCCAACAGTTCTATAAACAACATGTTATAACCCAAATCAACAGCCTATACATTCATTCTGTTTTGGGGGAAACAACCAAAGTAAAGCATTAACAGTCAAATAAACAACATGTTACAGTCTAACCTTAAGATACCACCATGTGTATCAGTCTGTAAATAATAAATACCTCATTGTGAGGAAAGAACCGCCTCTGCAAAGGGTACACAGGAAATGCTCCTACCATTCAATATATAGAATAAATACGAGGTTCCACTTTAAGACAACCTAAGTCTTTCACCTTGACATCCATAGCTCTCTGTCTAACGAGACGTTTCGATCACTATGAACAATAGATTTCAATACTTATACAGAGTTACATCCCATAATACAGTTAAACAGTAGCTTCAGTCTTTGCTCACAGTGTCGGCCGCTCCTCAAACGAACACGGTGCCGTCACACTGTTTCTTCAAAGCATTCGCTATCCGAGGACTTTAACATACAGCACGTCCTGTATTCATTTGGGGGTCGCCATGTCTAGAGGAGACAAGAAGGATAATTAAATGATACAATAAATTACAGAACACTCTTATAAGTACATCTACAAGATATCTGCTTTTTATAAAATCAATCAAATATTCACTTAAACTCGAAAAAGGGGCTCTTTTCATTTGCAGGAGCACCAAGAGTTCAAACCATGGAAATCATTTGAAGGTTAATATTTGATTATTTCAACATTGATTCGGTTTATCGGTGAAGAATCAGCGATGGCTGCATGACGCACAGGAGTTTTACCTTTGTTCGAATCATAGAGCTGTAAAATATTTGATATAAAAAAGGTTATTGTAAGAAACACTTACAATTCTCCTTGAATGTCTGTAGTAAAAGGTCTCTGAGATATTTTCTTCTTAGTGGGTTTCATTACAACACACAATTTCTCCATTTAACTTTTCCAATAGGATGTTGTATCTTTAAATCAACAATCAGATGTCCCCCTTGTCCTCACCTCGTTGTGCGGTATACAGTGATGGAAGTCCACTATTTCTGAGACTAACTTTTCTGATCTTGTGGTGTAGAGTTGTCGGGGTATCTGTGGAAACAAGAGGAGACAGTATGCGTCATTAATATATGATAGAGCCAGAGGCAATGTGAACAAAGGCCTGCAAAATCACTGGTAGAGGGATCTGCAGGAGAGAAAGATCTACCACGGGAGATTAGACCTACAGCAACTACCCAGAGCTCACTGTTAAAACTATACACCACTGTTGGACTTGCATCAAAAGTCCTCAAAGTTTAGGATGGGACACCTAAAAGTTAGAGAATGTGATTGACTGTGGCAGTTCAGGGCAGTGAATATAAAGCTCTAAATGCACAAAAATAAAACGTAAGGAGGATGAGAGGAAAGAAAACAAGCCAATTTGTTGCAGAGAGTTTGTTAGAATGTATTAGTTTATATTAGTGGAGTTGAGGTTAGTAGTTTAGTTATTTGTGCACAGGAAGCGTATACCTCAATACTCAGATGTATGTTTTCAATTGAGGGAAAATGTTCTTGTTCAGACTGCTGGGATTGGGAGGAGGTAGAGCTTGAAGGGTATGGCAATGTGGACACTTGAGTTAAGACACCATCATCATTCTCAAATACTGGGTTCACCCTCAAAGTATTCTCAAAGGCATAGGGAGCAAGGCTGTGCCTACAATGTAAAGGAGATTTGGGGGGGGGGCACCAATGAGAATACAACACATCACAAAATCACTGCAAAGGTAACAAGCTGAGACTAAAGATGTTGAATAAAAAGACTTGTACTTACACCAAGGTGATAGCCTTTACGGGCCTTATACATTTCTTGTTAATGAATAGCAAAATGCCAATGATGGCACAAACAAAGCAGAGGCTTCCCACGAGGCATGTTATAATTAGCGGGGGGTCGATGGGCACCGACACCAGCTCGTCGCAGCGCTCTCCGTGGTAGTGCCAGTATTTACCTACAGGGCATCTGGAAGAGATAAGAAACGCACATAGATCAGAGAGAAGCGCCCTGTAAGCCAGTGGCGGTTCTAGACCAATTTGACTGGGGGGGCCAGTTATTTTCTGAGGGGGGCACAATAAATGTAGGACGAAAAAGAGAACTAGACAGTATGAAGTAATTGCGCATAAGAAAACAATGCAATACAGTTATTGGTATTTGTTTCAGTACACTTATTTATTTCAGATAGATCTTATAGTTATTACTGTTAGCTTCAGCTTAAGTTATAGTGCAATGTTTGCACTAACACCATATTTATATAAAAATAAAGGCAATGAACATCTCTACTTTACATAAGGGTGTCTGCACAATCTCACATTACAGAAACAAAATCCTGCGGTCTTTGGCAAACCGAGTACCAGAAAATATACATTTAAAAAAAAAAAAAAAAAAAAACTTTTCATTGTTAGGGGTGCCACAGGGAGGTCAGTGTTAGGGGGCCCTGAACCCCCCCCCCCCCCCCCCCCCCTAGAACCGCCCCTGCTGTAAGCACAACGCAACAGTATGCACATCATTATCACTCCTACCGTCTGGGAAGTAGTGCAACTTTAATAAATTCATCATGATGTAGTCCTACATTCACATAAAACTGACAACCAATTAAAACATTACAGATGTTTTCGTGATAATTCTATACTTTTAAATTCAAATGAAACTGAATGAGCCTTGATTTGCCACAACATCCTGTTTTCAACATGAATATATCAAATCTTTAGATCATCAGCTTTTACATCTAAAGCCAAGTTGTTCTTCATGTTCTTCTTGGTGAATTAAGACATCCACTATTTATAAGCTGGCTGCTTGACAGAAATAATAATTGAGGGAAACTAATGGATCCACATGATCCTCTTTACATCATTAACATGTACTCAACATGGTGAAAAGGCAATTTGTTAGAATGCAATGTTTCTCATTTCTCAGCAGTCAACTCTCCAATCTTGAACGTCTTTGAATGCACCATCAAGAAGGGTTTTTATAACACAGTCCCTGCTTGAACTGAAACGTTCTTACTTAAAGAGTAATGCAATGAAATAGTTAAATGAATGCAAAGTAATACAAAGGAATTTAAAGGTCCCTTATTATACTGTTTTTCATCAATATATTATAGGTCTCAGATATATACAAAACATGTCTCTGAAGTGTTTGGCTCCAAATACCAAACAGATCATGCATTGCAGCATCCCATAATCCCCTCTGTTTCAGCCCTGTTTCAAAAGGGCTGATTCTCTGTCTGTTACTTTAGATGAAAATAAGGAGCCACTCCCCACGCCCCTCTGCGAGATATTTGGTTAAAAAGAACACAATGGTGCTCTAGGAGGAGATTCATGTGATAAGGTGGGGGGTTACCTTGGTTGGTGATTGGCTAATGGTTACACAAGCCAAAAAATCGTTATGACATAAAGTGGGCAACATTTTATCAGCTCATTTTCAGACAGGTTTTTATATAAATGGATCAGGATAAAAAGTGAGCCAATATTTTTTCCTGAAACTTTCAGAATCTCTTTACACAGAGGGGACACATGTTGATGCAGAAAAGACATGAGAAAGTGGATTTTGCAGAATAGGTGACCTTTAAAACTTATGATATACTTTGGAAAATTGTACTTCAAAATGTAAAACTGAAGTCTTGCGATCTGTGTTTCCTTCCATTCGTCAGCATCTGTGTACCTGCAGGTGGCTCCGTGCCCTGGGATTATTTCACACAGGCCGTCGTTCAGGCAGTAGTCGGGCTGCAGAGAACAGACGCTCTGACACGGCAGGCCGTCCACGATGGAGTATCCCGGGACGCACACACACTCTGCCTCTCCGGTCCTGCGGTTCACCGTGCAGTGGGAGAAATCGTTGCAGGCCAGGAACTTACAGGGCTCTGCTTGGTCGGCTGAAACCAGCAGAGAGGAGGGGGGGAAGGGGAGAGAGGTTTAGAAGAAATAAAGTGCAGAGAGGGGGAGGCTCATTAAAATTAACGCAGTTTGTAACTCAATGAATCCGAGAAATTAAAGAGCATTTTGATGGATGTGAATGATAGTGTCTGCAAACCCAATAATGCATTTAATAAGGTTACATAGAGTCATGAAATTGTCTATTTCTACTGAGCATCACCTACAGACTGCAGAGTGAGGGAAGCGTGATGTGGACAGGAGCTCTGACCTTGTAGCATGAATAAACATCTTTTCTTTTCTCTGCCTGAGTTCTACATCCTGTAATCACACAGGACACAACAGTGATTCTACTGAATAGGTGACGACGTTTCACCTGGTTCTATTTCCAAGGAGCGACTGTCAATCTTGATGTCGAGCCGTTTGGAAGCGGCGTTGCAGAAGTCTTCGAGCACGCAGTGAACAGCTTCTGTGACGTTGTAAGGTACCGGTTTGTCCAGCTTCATCTTGCTGTTCACCACAACGCTGCCGTTCCTGAAGTTTAGAACTTCCAGTTGCTTGAATCCAGTCAAATTGGATTGCAGATAAGGCAGAAGCTGCGGGTAAGAAAGAAGAAAGCAAATTATTATCTTATTTTATTTAATCTGTTTATTGAACTATTCTCTTTACTTTTTGCAGAGGATGTACTCTATTCCTCATTTGAAAAAGAGTATAGTCTTTATGTAGTTAGTTATCAGTGGGAATATTCCTTGAAAGCAGCACTCAATCAAGATTTCATGTTACAGGGTAAAAAGGGAATTATTCTCTTAAAATTAGGAGAACAAAGTGTCCCTCTTGGATATTTAGGTTATGAAATTATGTCAGATTAATATCAGTAAAGATCTGTTTCCCCCCCAGAGAAGTTATCAACCCGTTCAGCAGAGACCACATTTACCCGTGGTTTAACTCCGACATCGACAGGACCGAGGTTGTCGTAGCACTGCTGATATTGAATTATTCAAGTCACATTTTTACAGTGTGAATGCTATGAATAGTTCATAATTAAATGTTGATGCAAGCATGAAATCCTGCCATTACTGCGCTGACTTTGTAATTAGATCTAGAACATAATTAGGGTTAGGTTTAAAGGCATTAATATACAAACATAGAAGGTGCTATTTCTAGTTGAGGAAGAGCCCGGGAACACATGATGAAAAGATGAGACACTTAAAAAGACTTGTATGCATCGCAATTTCCAAATAAATCTATAATACATGATGTTTAGTGAAGGCTTTTATCTTAAGTGACTTACAGTAACACATGCACAATACATTGTCAGGTTAAGTATCTCTGCATTATCCCACCTACACTGACTTACAAAGCTGAAGCAAAGACTTGATCTTAAATGCCAAAGAAATGTGGAAGGTTGTGGGCAAAACAGAAAAAACAAAACTGCAGTGACACAGGGTAGATGGTGCTCATTTAGAAACACTTTACTTTCGCTTGTCCGTTTCCAATAAATCAACAAACTTATTAGTATTTCAATATCTGTTATACCAAGTTAGCCTAGCTTTGCAGAATAGCAATAACATCCATTGATTTCAAATGAAATAATGATGAAGAAATACAGTTTTACAACTTATAAAACTGTTCTGATTAAATCAAGTTTATGCATCCACATTCTCACTAATCATTTAAGTTTTCCACACAGACTAAAAATATTCCAAGTCTCAAGACGTAGCTCAGATAACTGAGAAAACAAGCTCTAAAGGCTATGGACTCTGACTGATGACTGCTGATATTTAGGAGGGGAAGGAAGTCAACCAACTGAGGTAATGGACCCGCATCAATGTTCATCGATCTGAGCCGCTCTCCTTCCAGCCACTTCACGTTCACTACGGCCCAGGCCAACATCAAACAGCTGCAGTGTGAGAGCGGGAGATTACGCTGCTTTAGCTGGCCTGGCTGTGGAGTAGGAGATAAGAGGCCTTAAGGAGCTCTGCTCTGATCAGGTTACTTCACTTATCACTGGCAGACTGGGAGCTAGTTCCCTACCGCTAATAGTCTCCGAGAAAGCACACGAAGGGCCAACAGCCCAGACAAATGGACAACAGCCTGCAGTGCAAAGCCATCCATTTGTCTCAATGCAAAATGTCAGCCACTTCACATCCAGTGTAAATTAGATACCAATCTGTAGCTCTGTGGCCTTCATCACAAGGTCAAAGCAAACACAACAAACCTCAGTGCAGTGTGTATGGTGAACTGAGGAACAACACCGCAGACAGCGTCACACCAACACTTCCATCATTTTGCTCTCTGACACCATCACATGCTTCTCTGAGGTTACACCACTGTATCTACTGGTTCTTGTTTTTAAAAAACTATGATACCTCCCTTCTCTCATTTTGAGAAAAAAAAAGAAAAGTCATACAAAATATTAAGCTGCCATGAAAATGATTTACTGTGGCAAATAAAGTCATTCCAATCTCCATGTCCAATTGTATTGGTTGCTTCACAAACCAGTAGGTACAGGAGTAATGGAGGCCAAGGAAAACACTGGGAATTGCAAGCCACTGCAGGCTAATAGTCCATATATATGTATACACATATATGAGACAGTGGATGTACAGTGTCATAAATGGGGTGCAATATCCAGTAAAACATTCCATTATGTCCATTTAAATGGGCTGCAGAATATATTTATATATTATTTTACATTTCTTCTTTCACTTTCTAGCTTTTCAGTGATGTATAAACAATCTCAAGCATGTTTCTACTCTGCCTGAATAGCCCATTTAAAAGGAAGTAATACTATTCCTAACGGGAAGTGCGAATAGACAGTATACGGCAAATACTTACCAGCTCAAACGTCTGACCACATTAGTTTTGCCGGGAAGCTTAACAAGTTGATTAATGAGGAAAGCTCAAGTAACCACAGTTTGGGCAACCATTACGATTGGAGATGGAGTGTTGTTTTCATTATTGATTCAGATGTTTGCCTCTCATATGCATCTTTGTGTAATGTGCCTCTAAAAATATGTACTACCCATTGTATTCTCTAATCCAGTGCAGACATTATTTTGTTCTTCCTATACAAGACATGAAAACAAATAAGAAACTAGCTTTCTGTTCCAGGATACAAATACAAAACAAAAATGGTTCATAACATTAATCTATAAAACCATTCCGTCTTGTATAGAACTCTAACTATTTAGTGAAAATCCTTTAGATGTTCTAAAAAATAAAACCTATTATGAACCATTTTCCTTAACTAAAAAACTATCATACCACCCAGAATAAATCAGAAAACTAAGCCCACCTGTAGTAGCACACATCTCCTCAGCCCCATGGCATTGCAGAAAACACACAATCCAATTTGTATCGAGGCACTTCCTCAGTCTGAGGCCAAGGTCTTTATATAACAGATCGCTCTGCACAAGCCTAAAAATACGTCCCCTTATTTAACCTCGGGGTAGGTCTTGAAACTAAATAACAATGTCAAGTGATGCTTCATTCTTTGATGCACGCTAATAAGGTTCAGGATCCCTACCTACTTACCAGCTGCTAATGCAAATTTAAACTGTTCTTCAGAGAGAAAAAGAGCAATGTGGCCTATTTGCCAAAACAAACGGGAAGATTACAGTATTGATTCGCAATATGTGCATTCACACAAAAGCTCCAAAACAAAATGACCTCAACCGTTCTATTTTATTGCATTGTCTTGTTGCCTATAGTATTACATACAAATACTATGTCAATAACATCAAATGACCAACATGCGTACAGATGTATCTTGACTGATGTCTCACTAAGCCGATTGGAACCATTAATAGCACAATGTGTGTGCTGCTGGAACCGACCAGAATTACTCAAAGCTTCTTACCACAAGTCACAAACCTTCTACAGTCCCACATGACTAAGGCAGAAGTCTCAGGATTCAGACTACTCCTGGCTAGCCCTTTACCATGTACAAAGCAACATTTTTGCATCATTAAATGCATCAAACTGCATGATTTTCTTTGTAGCTTAAGTAAACCTATGATCACATTGCTCAGCTCCACATTAATTAATTCACTTAACAAATGTATCTTTAAGGCTTCAAAACATGCACAAACACAGTGGTCCATGTGATAGACACACAAAAACAGCAATCAGATGTAAACTCTACACATGAACACAAACATAAAGCCCAACAGCTGATATATAATGACAAGTGTGTGCTTCACACAGCAGAGAGCTTGTCTGTACAAACAAATGACATCAGTGGTATTACTTACAATGTTGTATGAGGAAATAATTAAACATTTGTGGAAACAAAGTTATTTGCTTTGTTGCCAAGAGTTAGACGAGAAGATTGATACCACTCTCACCATCACTCTGTGTCCACTAAATATGAACCTACAGACAGCAGACCGTTAGCTTAGCATAACAACTTGAAACAGGGGAAACAGCTAGCCTGACTGTGCAAATGTAACAAAATCCACCTTGTGTACAATTTGAATTTGTGATTCAACAGGGGTGTCACTGTCAACAGTATCAGAGACCAATGTGTTACTTTTGTAAAGAGTCATGCTAGCTATTTGCTTTATTTCCAGTGTTAATGCTAAGCTAACTGGCTGATGGCTCTAGCTACATATTGAATCATTAAGACTGTTAACGTATTCATCTCTTTAAAAAATCTTTGGATTTTTATAGCCCAGAACTTTTTACACTTCCTTTGCGGACACAAATCGTACAAAAAGACAAGCTAAAATATATAAAACAGAATCAAAACATTCCCTGATAAAGACAAAACGTTAGCACAACAAAATTAAGGCAAACACACAAAAGCAAGCTTTGATAACAGACATGAGTAGCTGCAGCAGAAAGGTAAAACGTCTAATGTAAGGTCAAAAGAAAAACTGAAAACTAAAGTTAACTGTTTTCAGAAAGGTGAGGTGCTCTCAGATTGTTAGATACTGCATTTTGAAAAGGTTAGATAAGAAATAGAAAAGTCATGCTCTCTCTGAGGCATTGGAAATGTAGTTCCAATATGGAAGAAATACCGGTATGGAGGCTAAAATCTTCTGTCTCCTAGGCCCAGATTTACTGTGAGCTCCAGGGTTTGGCGAGTTTCTGGACCCAGAGTGCTGTGTCTGAGTGAAACAGAATTATTTCTTTATAATGTTGCCACAATGGCTCATCTGAAAATAAATCCTCATAACAGTTTGATACAAAAAAATAATTTGTTGAAGAAAAAATATAAAACCATAAAATTACCTGTCCCTTTAATGATAAAAAAAGATTGCGCATAAGGCTCACTGCAAAGTGCATCCTTACCTTTGCAGGACAAACAGATTTAGAGTAAGCACCAATTTGGGGCTACGGTTAAATATGTAGTTCTATCTCTTAAACATAAACAAATACTTTTGACACACATTTCAGCTTGGGCTATGAAAGCAAATATGAAAACAAAGCATGCAAAACCATGATATCCAGCACAAAAGCGTGTGTACCTACCAGCTCAAGAAAGGTATGCTCCAGTGATTTATACTCTGGGGAGCTCTTGTTGAACAGGTCGTCAGAAAACATCATGTTAGTGACCCTCAAGCTAAAGAAAACCACTAACTCTTTGCCCGCGTCCACGGCGGCCATCAGAGGGGTGCTGCCTTGCCTCACGGCAGGTGATGCCGTGGATCCGTACGGGTGTTCGTCAGACTCTGAGGACAATCCACTGCCGCTCTCCTCTTCCAGAGAGTCGATCGTGTTCTCCTCCGTCCCGTTCTGACTCGACCCTACATCGTCTTGAATGTTGGAGTTCTCCGGAGGCAGGTCTCCACCAGACTCAGCCCGGTCCTCGCCACTCTCTGAAGGGGAAGGCAAATATTCCTCTTCTGTTTCTGGTTCAATGCCTTGGACAACATCCTCCTGAGATGATGGTGTTGACACTGGGACCGTAGTCTCTTCTGGTTGGAAGTCTGGAGGTGCTAAGGGATGTTCTTCAGTAACTTCTGGTTCAGATTCTTGTAAAATAAGACATCAGAAAACAAGTTTTAATTGAAGAATTAGTTGTTTTGTTTAAAAGCAACATAGAGATAGACCAGCTATTGTTGTAGTAGTTATACAAAGGTGTTAGTGTAATTTAAGCTCGACACTCATGCATCATGTTAGTTGTTTTAGCAGATAGGTAACCAGTGGCGAACCGTCAGGACCTTCAAGGTATTCAGAGAATACCCTGGAACACTCAGATAAACATTTTTAAAAAATCGATTTAATTAAATAAATAAAATGTATATAAAATGAATAAATGAGAATCGTATCCGTGTTGTTTATCTGTAATATTACAGTGTTACGTTGATTTGTTTGTCCTTCTCGGACCATACACTACGCATTTCAGTAGTTTTGTGTTAGAAAATAAAGCAACCAATCAGATCTTGTTCTGGGTCCCTGGGTAGAATATCCTTCAACCAAGGTATTCTACATCCTTGATAGAATGCCCTGGCCGTTGCACTGAATGAGAGCGTACGTTTGGACTGACAGTTTGATCAACCAATCATATATTGATTTGGAGGGGGGGGGGGTGTCTACAGAAGGTCCAGTTGTGATAGCCACGGTTCGCCACTGGTAACCACTAACTAACTATAACCATTACATCTCACTGCTTTGATGATTTGACTACAGGTTAAGGAGCTAGATTTGCTTCCAAAAGTAAGATAAAAAGATTGATACCACTCATGTTTCTGAACTAAGAATAGATCCAGGTGGCAACTAACATAGCGTAGTGCTAAGACTGGAAGCAGAAGCATGGTCATTACGCAATTGGTTGAATAAAACTGCCAGTAAATATATATTTTTTCAGGTTTTTCATGTGAGGCTTCGCTTTCTTTTTTTTCTTCAATATTTTAATGCAAAGCTTTTTAATGGCGCCACAAATCCATCAATTTGAAATGCTGCGCAGTAGATGTCTAGTGCATCATTTCATACATGAAACTCAGCTTGACACGCCTGATACATATGGTTTCTTTAGATTTGCTACTAGAAAATGAAGTTCTGCAGGTTTGAACAAAGTTTGTCCGCACAGCATGAGTTTGTAATGACTCAAGCACAAGCAGGCGGCTGCTTGTTAATGGGCTTTAATATGATGTATTGCCTCAGCAGGGAGCATCTCCATGTGCAAAACTGAACCATCGAGTCTAATTGTGCTGCCGGTTCCATTTCCTTTGAGAGGCGAGTGTTCTGTGCAGATATGATGGGAAAGGAACAAAATGGATCACTCTTTATTTGGACAGTGCTGTGCTGATATTCAGAATCCAGTTACTTTAATATGTCACTAGAAAGTGGAAAATGTGGATTTCTTGTGACACTTGTAATAATTTAAAACTAAGTTGAACATTTAATACCCAGTTAAATTAACTGTTCGTGTTGGAGCTACATAAGAGCTTACATAATGTGTGAACTTGGATAAAAAAGGAAAAGATACTTCTCATCACCCAATAAGTGTGGATCAATACTAGAAAAATCGAATAAAGCGTTGTTAAATAATGATAAAATAACATTAAGGAGGAAAGTTTAAGTTCCCTTAGTTAGACCAGTTTAGTTATTCATAACTTTATTATCTCTTTAATTTCCCATCACCAGTCAGTTACTTTCCAGATCCTTTCTATTTTCTTACTATTATCCAATCACTTTTAGATCATTCTCACCACTAAAAGAAGATTGAAATGTACTTTTACTTCTTACTTTTACTGGCATGGGGATTTGCTCGATCAGCTGTTTCAGCCTCTTGTGTTTCTAGACAATACTGCAACCTCCCTCCCCTTTCCCACCATCAGCAGAATCAGGACTAAGGTACCAGAGCATGACAGGAAAGTGTGGTTCGATCCTGAGGTACTTCCTGTTTTCTGTCAATAGATCTAATTGTAGTCTAAACCTCAATCTAAAGTTTGGCTACTCAATAAAGCTTTGAATTCTTTAATGTGTTGCTCCTGATTGAACTTAAACTTCAAAAACAACACTTAGCGTGGAATAAGCCTTACCGTCTGTCACCTGCTCCTCAGGTTCAGCCTCACCGCTGTTAACGTGCTCGGTTGGCGGCTGCTCCTCCAGATCCTCCACGGCAGACTCTTCTGTGGATTCCTCCTCTACTGCGGACATTAGAGGAGTCTCATCATCAGTGATGGCAAGAATGCTTTCTGGGAGGATGTTTGGGATGAAAGGCACGAAGGTGTGTGTTTCTGGTTTGACTGTAAAAGCTTCCAAGGCGTTTTCTATCACTGCCACAGTGGGAAAGAAACTTCGGGTGGGAGATTTGTCCTCCGTAGATGGCTTTGTGGTGTCGTCCTCAACTGGGTTCATGCCAAGCTCCGCAACTGGGTAGATTGTGGTTACTGAAAAGGATAAGTTAAAAGACTTACAGTTTTAAAATCCTGTTCTGAGCAAGATAATACATGTTTTATTCAGTTAAATGTGATATCATGCTTACCACTCTCAAAGCTGAGTGTCTCTATGTCCACTGGTAGTGATGTCTCTTGCTTCAAGGCCTTTATGATGATTTGCTTCAGTTTAGGAGCATTCGTATCCTCGTCCATGTTAAGCTCCTCAAGAACATCAGGTTCGTCGTTGAGCTCAGTTTCTCCATTGAAGACCACAGCATAACGCACCGACACATCCTCTGAGCTGCGCAACACAACAATCATGTTAGAAACTCTCATAACAGATATAGCTAACTGGAAATGGATGACTGGCAACCCAATAGTGGAGATTTTTGGTGATGTAATAGTTTATCCTGATATTGTTAGTATTTTAATGCTTCAATAAAACAAATCATCACGAAAACTACACCCACCGATATCCCAGCACACGAATCTCTTTGAATCCTGGAACATCTGCAAACACACGACGCATCTAAAAGAAAAAAGAATAACATGAACATGATAATGAAAATAACTAATGTGTTGCGTCACACTTCTCAGTATTATTGAACCTAAAAGCATGGTAGAGAGGCAGAGGCGATTATATTTAAAGATTTACTGTGCCTAAAATGCAACAAAAAAAAAAGACTTGTCAATATATGTTTTCTTTTACAGAAAATCCAAAGTGGACAGGTATGCAGACACACACTAAGGTCCTAAAAAGCAGAAAGTGAAGTGACCTGTATAAGTGTAATGGAGCTGATTAGAGAGATTGGGAACGGGTGTGTATTTGGGTGTGGAGGTCAGGTGATAGATAAAGGTGGACACACTGAAGACACAGAGGAGGAAGGGGGGGAAAGGCTCGGAAACGACAGGAAGCATTAGCGGCTGGCTTGCGGCATGTCAAAAGGGAAAGTAATGTTGATGTTAGTAGACAGCCATGATATCTTGATTTATCTATCCAGCAACAACATTTAAAATAATAAAATAATACATTTCCACCATGTTTGCAGGCTTGACATTAAAGTTTTAAGACTGAACCTGAACCCAAATGTGTTTTATTTCTTTGGTAATATTTTTTTTAAAAACACATCAAAACTGCCTTTCTTCTGTGGTTGCACTGTGTAATTCCAATTTCCAGGTCATTTAACACCAGTAGAAGAGCTGCGTTTAGAGCCTCTTTCAATGCCTTCTTAGTCAGAGATAATCTATATGATTAGATCTTACTATTTCAGGCTTGTGGTCATTTAGAAGTCTTACCTAAAGTCCTCTGGTTTGCGACCTTAAAGCTGTTAAATCAATCACGGTGAGTTTGACATTTAACAATACAAGGCCAGAGAAGCTGGCAATCACATTGAGTTCATTGTAAGGAATGTTGCATTATGAACACTGCAGTGAAAGAAGGGAAGAATAGTCACGGAGTCATTCAGATGAATTGTTTTGCTTTATTAAGAGGTTACAGATGACCAAAAAGAAACCTGTGTGTGAAAGTTTGTAATTTAAAGGGGACCTATCATGCAAAATGCACTTTTGTACATCTTTTATACATGAATATGTGTCCCCGGTGTGTCAGGGAACTCACCAAGTGTCAGAAAACACAACCCTCTCTCTTTTCCTCCATACCCAAATCTCTAAAAACGGGGCTGCAACGCATCTGATACAGACTGATACAGATTTGAAATATCTCTGACGTCAGAAACGAGGAGCTCCGCCTATATGGCCAACTCTCCACCTATCAGGAGGAGACAGCCACGGCCATTGCCGTTCGAAAGCGCTGGAGTACATATGCCAGGCCTGTAGGTGGCGCTGTAGCCTGCCACAAAAGCAGCGAAGAAGACTTCTCACGGATTCAGCCCTTGCAAAAACAGGGCTAAAAAATAGCAAATAGAGTGAAATGAGGCATGGCTAAAATGCATGATCTGTTTGGTATTTTGAAGGAAAACAAATTGCAGACATGTTTTATATAGGTATGGCCTATATATTATTCAAATATAGCATGATAGGTCCACTTTAAACCTCAGTACATCTCACTTTTCTTGCAGAGTTTCCTCACCTTCAGTAACATCTTAAAAAGCTGCTTAAACACAGCTCTGCTAGGATGTGGGTTCCTGTGTTTGTATATAAGGCAAGGAAGAGACAGTTAATATTTACTTTGGGTCTGAACACTTGGCTCTTACCTTTTCTGTGAGCTCTTGTCTGATTTCAACGTACTCCACTGCCTGGGGGTCACTGAGCAGCTTGGTGAACACCGGATCTGAGATGGTGACACTGAAATGGATAACATACTCCTCAAAGTTCTCTTTGATCATGTTGGGGTCTTCCTCGTTCTGGCAAAAAAAGAAAACGACTGTGGTTAGACAGTGTCAACTAATTTTGATAATGTTTTGATCGTTAAAACATGTGTGGGTTCACTCACGTTATCCTCAGTTGGTAGCACAATCATTGGGGGTGTCCAGGTGCCTGAGACCAAAAACAACTCATTATTTGATGGTGTTGTGAAAATGTTGAGATAGCTTCTAAGATGATAAACATATTGAAATGCTTTCATTAAACATTGTGTGTTAGGGTTCAACTCACAATCAATTCCTGACTCTGTGGTTCCAGCAAAAACTCTGAAAATAAAAACGTTTGTTACAAATGCAGTTAGACCACTTTGAATACTTGCTGTATCAAATGTGAGAGTTATTCAAGAATCCTCAAGCTTAAAACCAATTTTTTTGTTTGCCTAGTATCCCAAATGTATTTTTTCTAGCTACAGTAGGATAGCAAAAAGGTTTAGTTGGTTTGACACTTTCATTGCCTCTCCTGAAATCACACTGGAAATAATGTACCACTTTGCAATGTTAAACACATCAACTGTGAACTTATTAAAACTGTATTGAGTTCAGTCACACTTGTACACAACAAACGTACCCTTCAACTTCAGCTTGCTCGGCTACCCTCTGGAAATAAGAAAGTTACCGGTTATTCACAATCACTCTGAATGCTGATTTAAAACTGCCTCACAGTTTGAACACATTCCGGGAGAGGAGGCTGGTCAGTGAAGATATTTCAGCTGTGTTGGTGCTGCACTCACGCGGGCCACCAGGTCCAAATGCTCCTGAGAGCTGCTGAAGTTCTGGGCCAGGTCGTCCATGCAGAGGTTTTCATGCTGGCAGGTGTAGAGCCAGGCTCTGTACTCCTCTGAGTTCGGGGATCGGTCCAAGAAGATCCGAAACGCTTCCCAAATTGCTTCCTGGCAAACTAAAGAGATGTCATGTCATTTTATAGATTTTTCTTTTTGACTCCTCTCAGAAAATATTCGAGCAAACACTGGAATAAGTGCAAATATGAGACACAATCTAATAACTTAGACAAAAATATATTGTGATGACTTGAGATGGCATAACATGTATTTGCAACAAGGGCAGAAAGGATGGAAATTACAGCATGGAGATATCAAAGGATTATGGATAAATAGGATTTGTGATTGATGGCATGTCTGTATTTGGAGAGTTTGCTTTGATATATAGATTATTGTTTCCTCAGAAACATTTCACTGAGTTTCACCTTCGACACAATGTTTTTGATAAATCACAATATATATTTAACATGATATAAATGGGACGGAACAAAAAGGCAAAAATGCCTGTTTCAGTAAATGTCAAACTGTATATTTAACTCTTCGTCTGTCCATGACATTTTTACTAATATTACAATCATGAGCACAGAGAGCCCCTGGAGCTAAACTGTGTTTTATCTTCCTCTGTGGGGGAAACAAGCTCCACATTGTCCAATATCGTGATGCCTGTAGGAAATGTATTCTCTGACAAACTAATTTCTGGAACGAAGCAATTACATCCAATACAGCAAATTAATCTGCCTCATTTTAAAATCCTATGCCATAGCGGCTGTTGTGGAACAGTTCGTATTACTTTTCCATTGTAACAAGAAATGTGGCAATCTCTGCCTCTTAAATCATCTACAATTCATCTCACTTGGACAAAGAATATTTGCATATAACGTCATGATATCATGTGCTACACTATGTCCACACTATATCCATCCATTCATAAGATTTAGAGAATCATACATATTTGAGGGGATTAGATTCAGTTTTTCTATCATCCTTTGCACCACCGAAACATCAAAAGGGAACGCTATTTACCCAATTGTTTGATTAAGTGCTTTATTCTCATTTGATAGTCAATGTTTTATGAAAGGCTTATTGAATTCATATTGGATGTCCTAATTATGCATAAAGTTACATTTACTTCATTAATAAACCCTAACTTAGTATAAGCTTACACAAGAGTTTACCTCTGAGTTTGTAATAGGCCCGATGGCTGCCGATGACTGCTTTCATCGTCTCCTGCGGACACACTTTGACCCCCGTGGTGAGGAGCGGCGACCTCTTATTCCGTTGTCCATTCTGCTCCGCTCTGACATTTGTGGTGTGTCTGATCGGTCTGGAGGATTCTAGAAAGTGTCGGTACTTCACATCCCTGAGTCCCGAAAAACCGTGGTCATGTATTTCTACAAGAGAAAATGTAAGTTTAGAAAATAAATATAATCTTTACAGTATTCAGCTTGAGTTATCATACGACGTAAGTAACATAGATAGCTGGAATTAAGTTGAGGTCAAAGAAAACAATTTCTGCTAAAAAGTTAGCAATGATTGAGATTCAGACCTAAACATTTCAGATGTGTGTATCTCACACTGGACTAGGGCTGCTCGATTATGGCAAAAATCATAATCTCGATTATTTGGGTCAATAATTGATATCACGATTATTAAAAACGATTATCCATTTACTTTGAAAACATCAATTTATTGGAGAAAAAAAATGTGAACAGTATGTTTTTAACAGTTGATTACCCTGAACTTTAAGTATAACTCAACTGAAAAACAAAAACAAAAAAAGCATTAATAAAAAAATTATATATAATAATAATAATAAATATATTCGTTTTATTTAAATTACGTTGTTTTCGTAATCGTTGCAAGCCATAATCGTAATTGCGATTAAAATACGATTAATTGAGCAGCCCTACACTGGACTGTAATTTGTATTCATGTACCTTTGTTATTCGTGTTTTATTATCTTTGCTTTTAAATGAGTGTTTTTCAAATGCCATTTTATAATATGTTTCTTAATGCTCTTAATGTCTTTAATTTTTGTAAAGCACTTTGCTATATAATTAAACTTGCCTTGCCTTGCCTTGATCATGCTAGTGTGACATTTCTTGTTGGTTTTTGTGTTAATTATTATAATTAACAACTGACAGAGGGCAGCACCTAACCAAAGCACTTATTTGTTTCTTTTACAGTTGCAAATGTCAAAACATAACAATTGAATTACTTGATATGTCAATAATGTAAATTTAAAAAATGGTGCTCATCTTATTCATTAAGTTGTTATAGATTAACCATGACATGTGTTACGTTTGTCTGACAGTACAATGACAAACCTATAACACAGATAAAACAAACAATTGGAAGGAGGAGTGGGTAACAGTGTCATGCATGCGTGTCTATTAGGAACACATGCATCCCCATGATCTTACATCAGCACATGCTTTGGTCCGACATATATATGTACAACTTCCTTTATCTTTAAGGGTATATTAGATTTGTTGTGAAGTAGCCATACACTTTAGACAAGTTGCCTTTTTCTCCCTATAGATAAAGGCAAACTCAATATTATTCACGGCAACACAACGCTAAACATGTAATATCCCAAACAGGGGGGAAAAGTATGATCAACCACACAGGGAGTAACACGCATCATGTGAAAACAGCAACACACACGATTATGTCACAGTGATGTCATCAAGGGTTATCTCATAATTGGCTTGGGACTTTGAATATTGACAGGAAGCTTATCCTGTGCACTTGGTTATGTAGACGTTGGTGTAAAACGAAACACATCATCAAGTATCATTTTTTTCAAATGCTGTGATTTTATACAGTGACCCATGGCTACACCGGTTCAGTTTAGAATTGATGGGGCCTCTTTTACATACATTGTTATGGAAGTGTAAAGTTAAATCACTGAAGCTCCCTTTAAATATCTAGCTTTAAGTGTGTAACCAGGAACCAGGCATTGAACGCCAACAACCACAGAGTAGAATTAAACTTGACATACACCTAATCCAACAAGTTACTTAATAGCATCTGTCCAGCCCTCTTACTGTAAGTTAACTGCTGCTTGCTCTGCCTATAATTAGCATCTGGCTTTGCAGTGAAAGGTATATTATACACAGAGGATCCTAGAGTTTATTTTGTATACAATGGAGTGAAGACAAATCCTCTGCATGTGGGATTTTGTAACAACTAAAAAAGGTGCAATGAGTAACTTGAGGTTTCAAATTCACTGTAGTGTAAAAATGTCTGGGGCCTTTGTGACTGGAAGGTTGTCATTTTGAATGATTGGAAAGTGCAGAGATGTGTAGAGAAAGTGAATGAGTAACATTCTTCCCCCTCAGGATCAGTGGTTGAGATGCCCTTGAGCAACTTGACCCACGTTGCACTGCTGAAGCTGCTCAGTGGCTCACAGTGTCAGTGTGAGGTTGTGCTGAAAAACCTCACACATGGTGTGAATTTGCAGAAACTCATACATGAGGATTACAGTTGAAGCAGGATGTGCGTGCACAGTGAATCTCAAAGAGATTAAAATTAGTTGCAGGTGGATACCCGCAGATTTTGGGAGTCAACAAAAACATCACATCATACCAAAATATTCAAGCCATATGCAGACAGGGACAGAAATATGTCCATGTATTATAATATTGGGAGGGATGTAACCCTCTTTAATGGTCACACATGCAGAGCACACAGCTCACACAGTGAAATGTGTTCTCTGCATTTAACCCAGCGTTTCTCAAAGTATGGGGCGCGCCCCACTGGTGGGGCGCAGGGATGTGATAGGTGGGTCGCAAAAGGACGCGATGAATGGGAGATTTTTTATTTATTTTTTAAATACATGTTTTGGACCCCAGGCCAGAATCGAACCTGGGTCTTCGCGGGCGGTAGTGGACTGTTACAGCCGGAGACTCCCAACGGCAGTGGACTTTCACAGCGCCGCTGCGCCGGAGCCGCCGGGTGTTTGCGGCGGCGGATGCGGTACCGGCGCAGCGCCGCTGTGAAAGTCCACGTCCCACCTATGCCAGAGCCAGCGGCCCACCGATGGCAGCAGCCCACCAACAGCAGCGGCCCACCAGGAAAAGTCCCGAATCTCCCGATGGCCAATCAGAGCCTGCTCACACACACACAACTGAAACCAAAATCATTTACAGACATATGTAAAAATCTCTCATACACACATGTGAAACGCTCTCACACACACACACAACAGCGTTGCAGTCGGGAAGAAAAGCAATGTGGAGCAGCACCTCACCACTTCATAAGGAGTTTAACAGTGACACTTTTCGAAATCCCGTTTGTGTCCCCCCACTTTACAAATAGGCCTATGTTTATTTTATTTTTTTAACGGAAGCCGTCATCGCCACGGAGGAGCACACAGCCTCTGTGAGCGAGCGAGACAGAGTAAAGAGAGAGAGAGCGAGAGAGCTAGAGAGAGCACACCTTTTATAGATGTAAAAAATAAAGTTGGGGGGTTGTCCGGTGCCTTGCTCAAGGGCACCACGGCAGGGCCCAGGAGGTGAACTGAGACCTCTCCAAGTAGCAGTCCATACTCCATATTTAGGTCTGGTTGGGGACTTGAACCAGCGACCCTACGGCTCCCAGTCCAAGCCCCTACTGACTGAGCCACTGCCGGATTATATTACTAAAATGCTGCACACATGAGGAGGAGTGCCCTCATTTTCTGATCATCTTAGTAAAAAAGAAAACTAGCATGACCGCCCTGACAGTAAGGTCATTCCACTCCATTACACAAGCCAGTGTGTCACTCAACCATCACTAACAGTCACCCCTTGGTAAAAATCTATTTTAAAAGAAAGGTACTCATTGGGATGCCAGGTGGCAGACCTTGAATGACTTTATAAGACAATAAGCCTACATTTATTCACCCCATCTCGCAGACTCGCGGTCATTCGACCTAATTAATTGACTATTTCCTCTAAATAAGGGGACATAATAAAGGTAACTGAGAAAAGAGAGCTTTTAGCTGGAGATGGAACATTGTTGTGAAGATAAACAAAATAAGGGGTACATGCAGGCTCCAACGTTGTGTATATTTTAGACAAGTGAATAAGCTTGCTAATGCAAAGAAACACATGGGCCCTGCCACCCTTAATACACAAATAAAAATATATAGGTGTATCGTATTAGATAAGAAAATAATGGTGAACAGAGTGAATGCAAATAAAATATATATAATGAAATAAGAGTAGAATGGAGTTCTTATTTGGATAACATGCATGTATAGTGATAATACAATTACAGTAATAATGAGCTTAGTTGATCAATGATTGATTAGTTGATAGTCTGTGAACTGTAAAAGGATGATAAAGACGCTGGTTTAGGGAGGGGAGATTTTTAAGGTACATCTTTGTAAACTACTGTTTATACATTTGTTTGTTGAATCGCGATCCTATTTTGGCATAAATGCAAAATGTAGCATTCATATTCTTAGCTAAGTGCAATTGTTGTGGTTGTGGTTACATGTGGTAGGCGAGTTGTAAACAATCCCAGCATGCACTGAGGCAATACATACATTCTTGACCTTAAATGTTAGGTGTGTTCTTGCATGGTCACTGGTGTGATTTTGTTCTAAAACTGTTTCCACACTTTCATTACTGTTGGTGGCTGATGTGTGAGGTTCCCCACATGGACGAATAAACACATTCATTCAAAGTGATAACCAGAAGCAAATTCAATGACATATGACCTGGCCTAATTGGTCTTTTAAAGTTATAATCTTGGAGTAGGGTGTCGACCTTTTTCTCTCACATTTCTTAAGGTTAAATTAGTTTTGGTTATTTTTCTTTACAATTTCTTTTTTTTAAATGTCTATTTTATTTGAACGTGTTAGGCAAGATTTCAATGGTGAATTTACAATAACCTGGATGTTATTATCTATATAAAAACACCGTCATTATGAATCTAAGAATATGGGTCAATTGGGTATGAAAAATTGTAAAAATATGTAATTCAAAATAAACTATCTGGGTCATGTTAGAGTTATCTGTCAAAAGGTCTGCTCTTATACAGGTTTGTTCAAAAGGACTTGTTGCTCCGGCAATGGTCTAAGACTCATGTCAAATTGTAGGCATTTAGGTCTGGATGTGTTCTGCTGTGCTACTAGTCAATATTTGATAATAAGCATTAAAATAAGAATTGTGAAAAATTGGTAGAGCAAGAAAGGAAAAGAAATAAGCGGTGAATCACTGTTTTGCACGAAAACAAATACCTCTACAATGAACAATATTGTTTTCCACAAATCTTAATTTGGCCGAACACCAAGAACATGCAAAGAATGTGTGGGCATTGACAGTTCAGCCTGCAGCTTTGTGGGCAAAATGATCCCCCAGTTCAGTGTCAGGCAGACCCATTCACCCGGTAAATCCTCCACTTCCAAACATTTCAGCAGGTGGTCTGACATTTGCCAAATCATGTGTGTTTCCTATAATAGTCACGGCAGTAAGACAACATTTTAATGGGTATTTTTGGAAAATTTGTCAACTTGAAATCTGACTTGCACATGCAGAGACACAAGAGCCTGAGTGAGGGGAGGGAGTGTTGGAGCGGGCCTTAATGCTCAGTGCAGCCGCAAAAAGGCCTCAAAGCAGAATTACAAGCCAGAAAAGATTAGCGTCCTGCGACACTGGGAACAGAATGGCTTTTGTTTCCTTCGGGATAATGAGCTCACCCGGGCACATCACACTGAACAAGATAACCAGTGCAGAGGCAAATGTTATCACTGACGAAATGATGCTATCTTCCTCCGTTAACATCTATTATATGCCTCTGCTTGATAATTCATAGTGAATAGTCATGGCCATAAAAATGGCACGCTGGCTGCTTGACATTTAAAAAAGATAAATCATGTCATGCACAATTTTAACTGCAAAACCATGTTGCCCTTGAAGTGCATCTCAAACACTTTAACTAATTGAAAACAATAATTTGAATAGTGACTTTTCTCAATTTCAAAGTTTGGTCCTTCTTAAGAGCTGGTGTGTAAAAGGCCTTTAGACATGTATTATTGGCTAAATAGGTTATTGAATGAATTAGCTCTGTACTGGCTAAAAGTGGAGCCTTAGAGAGTTAGATTGTTGAAACTTGCATCTACTGAAACCTGTGTGAAAATAAACAAAATGTCTTTCTCCAAACACAACAAAAAGGCAATAACTAAAGGGAATTATTAACAGGAAAACAATCCTCCCTATAGGATTCTTACCTTTGATTCGACTTGCTTGGAGGGTAAACAGATACAGAGTGAGGAATATTCCTGACTTCAAAAGCATGATGCGCTTATTTATGTGGTTCTCAAGCCCGAAGTTTTCATTTGTAAAGAGACTTGTTGGAGACAACAATAAAATCCAGGGTCTCTTTATCTTGAGTCCATTAGCAGAATGTCCATCAGTCTCTTCATCTGTGCTGACAAGTTCTTCAGCTCATTAGCCCGTAGCAAAAAAAGGTTGTCCAGTCCACTCCTATCTGTGCTCCAGTTCAGTTTTTCAGCAGCAGTGAGTTCCTAGAGAACCGAGGGGGCTGCATGGGTGGATGAGCAGAGCTGCCGGGGAGGGAGGAGAGGACGGAGACGGTGAACGGATAGAATTCTGGCTCGGGAGTTTCCCTGTCAGTGTCACAACAGTGACGAGGTTAAAAAAGCAGGATGGGTTTTGCGTCTAATCCCTTTACCTTCTTCTTGCGGCTTGTAATCTCTGCTGGGCCACGTGGGGCGCCTGGCCTCATCCTGTAAGCCACCTTCTGGACCCTCATCTGTCAGATCAACAAACGTGGGGATCTGCCAACAAGCCCAGAACAGATATCCACTGCCAACAGTAGATACCTGACACCCAGATCATTTGTGTGCTTTTATCCAACTCTTAGGCCAGCAATTTCAGGTGCCAAGTGAGGTCAGGATGGCAGCTTTTGTGTTGTTAACCCAGATACATGTCAAACAATGTGCCTCATTCACTGCCAAGTGAAGGCCTGTTTTCACATTGTTAAGAGCAGTGTCAAAATGCACCCTTCCTTTCTCCTGTTGTTGGCTGTTAAAGACGAAAAGTTGAATCCTTCTCTTCTGCTATCTGCGCTATTTCCCCTGAAATAGAGCAACCATGTTGTTTTGATGCTCAATTATTCCATATTTACCCATCCACGATAGGTTGATGTTTCTTCACAGAAGAAAAAAAAGAAGCAGCTTCTCAGCCAAGACTTCTGTTTCTTAGTTCTCTTTGCAGGTTGGGATGCTGAAGCTAATGGCTGTGTGATGGAGACGGGTAGAGACAGTGGTGGCATGTGTGGCCTCTCCTGTTATGATGTGTCAGGGGGGAAAGGCTCCATATTGTTAGTCTCCACCCTTGCCTCTTCTTGGGAGGAGGATTAGCTGCCCTTGTTGGTTGTTAACAATTTGCTGCAGTAAATAAGCCTCTTCAACAGCAAACTAATCCATCCAGGCTGTTTTCTGACACAGTAATCTTAGCTGATTGTTGTACGCCATTAGGAGTGACATATTTTCTAAGCAGTATTATTCAGTTGTTTGACCACTAAAAGGAAGAAGTTGTCTCGACAAACACGTTATTAACATGTTGTGACCACAGAACAGCATGCAAAACCTGGTATTGTCGACTACAGCAAAAATACTACAGCTGACCTGTTTAAATGTAGCTTTAAAATCCTAAAGCAGAGATCAGAGACCAACACTGAATTGAAGACTATTGTTATATTTCTCATATGCGATATCTTTATTGGTGATGCTCGATTACTGAGAGATACGTGTTGCTTACCTTTCTCAGATGGTTGGTCAGAGGTCAGATAACTCTATTCTGAAGTTCGTAGAATATGCACAGCACCATTCGTTGTCAAATACTCTAAAAGAAAAATGGCTGTCAGCTAAAGCAAATTAAACATTTCATTTGGACATTCATCTCAGTTAAAAGGATAAGGGTGATCACAATAATGTTGATATCTGTCTTTGCACGAAAGAACTTGACATTTCCAAAATTATCAGAAGAACTTCCTTTATCTCTGCTTGACTAGAAAGGCACACATAAATAGGTGATATCAGGTACTGATTGTCACAGTGTGGCTGAGAAGATTATAAAACTATATTCATATTCTGTCCATGTATATTCTGAAAGAAGCCCTGATACACCCACACCAACATTTGTGAGGAACGCTTTTTTACATGCCGACTTTTTTTCTTGTTTACGTAGCAGACTTCACTTTCATAGGTAGTTTAAACTGACAATTTAGAGTTAACTATATATATCTAGTAACACGGTTGATTGTGCTGAGCCCTTTTTGTACACCTGAATGTGTCACGATCTGTCTTTATGGTGTTTTGTCTTGTCTTGTTTCATGTTTTATGTTGAAAGGTCTTCACTTCCTGTCTTGCCTGTTTCTGTCTGCGTTGTGTCTTGTTTAAATCTGTCTGTGGTTCCCTGTTAGTTTCCCTGGTGTGTCTAATTTACCCGATTGTGTTCACCTGGTGTCCCTGTGTTTTCTCCTCCCTCCTCACCTGTGTCTTGTTTCTGTGATTAGTCTTGTGTGTATTTAAGTTCTGGTTTTTCTGTCTGTCTTTGTCGGTTCGTCTTTTGTCATGACTTGTTCGTCGGTGAGTGTTCTGTTTTGTCGTTGTTATCACCTAGCCTTGAAATAAAGGAATTGCCACTTTATTCTGCATTTGGGTCCTACCTGCTTCACACACCGTGACAGAACGAACCGACCACAAAATAGACCCAGCAGATGATCCATGGGAGGTTGAGACAGCATTTAACCTTCTATCTGGCTTGCTGCTTCGATTGGTGGAAGGGAGCGTCCAGTGTTCGGCAGAAGAGGGCCGCTCTGGTAGAGAAGTTCCGGTTGGCAGCAGAGAAACCATGTTTTGTTGAGTTTTTACCTGACTGGATTTTGGACTTCCTTCAAGCATGTGATTCCAGGCATGCTAGCTCCCTGTCTCCCAATTCCCAACCTGGCACCATACGCCTTGGTGGGTTCCGCCTGAAGTCAACCCGTGCTTCTGCCCCAGTTCCTGCTCCTGTCCAGGAGTCGTATTCCGGAAATCGTCAGGCTTATGGAGGTCCACGGAGTATTCAGGAGGCTGCTAAGAGGAGTCGTCGCAAGGCCAGGCTAGCAGCCCGAGCCCCAGCAGCCATGGTTCCGGCTCCAGTACAGGCCCCAACAGCCATGGTTCCGGCTCCAGTGCCGGACCCAGCAGCCATGGTTCCGTGCTCCAGTACCATCCCACATAGCCATGGTACCGTGCTCCAGTACCACCCCACACAGCCATGGATCCGTGTTCCGGTTCCTTGCCCAGCAGCCATGGTTCCGGCTCCAGTGCCGGCCCACACAGCCATGATCCAGGCTTCAGCTCCGGACCTTACAGCCATGTTTCCGGCTCCAGAACTGGATCTTACAACCGTGGTCCCTGCACCAGAGCTGGCCCATACAGCCATGGTTCCGGCCCCAGTTCCAGCCATGATTCTGGCTCAAGTACCGGCCCCAGTTCCAGCCATGGTTCCGGCCCCAGTTCCAGCCATGGTTCCGGCTCAAGTACCGGCTCCAGCAGTCATGGTCCCGACTCCAGCACCTCGTCTCCTGCTGGCTCCCCAGCCGACGCCAGCTCCTCGAGTCTTGTCGGCGTACCGGCCGACTCCAGCACCTCGTCTCCTGCTGGCTCCCCAGACGACGCCAGCTCCCCGTGTCCTGTCGGCGTACCGACCGACACAAGTTCCCTCAAGTCCCCTCTCAAGTTCCTACCCGAGTTCCCTCTCGGGTTCCCTCTCGAGTCCCCTCTCGAGTCCTCTCTCGAGTCCCCTCTCCAGTTCCCTCTCGAGTCCCCTCTCGAGTCCCCTCTCGAGTCCCCTCTCAAGTCTCCTCTCCAGTTCCCTCTCAGGTCCCCTCTCGAGTCCCTTCTCGAGTCCCCTCTCTAGTTCCTACTCGAGTCCCCTCTCCAGTCCCCTCTCCAGTCCCCTCTTTAGTCCCCTCTCGAGTTCCCTCTCCAGTCCCCTCTCGAGTTCCCTCTCAAGTTCCCTCCTTTAGTCCCCTCTCTAGTTCCCCTCGCGAGTCACCTCTCGAGTTCCCTTCTCTAGTCCCCTCTCTAGTTCTCCTCTTGAGTCCCCTCTCGAGTCACGTCTCAAGTCCCTACCCAATGTCCTGGTCCGTTGGAGGTTCCGCTGGGGGTCCTGCCAACTCCATGTCCTGTCCCGTTGGAGGCCCCGTCGACTACTCCTCTGCCGGGGGTCCTACCAATCGTATGTCTGTCCCGTTGGAGGTCCCGCCATCTACTCTCCTGCCGGGGGTCCTGCCAGCTCCTTGTCCTGTCTCGTTGGAGGTCCCGCCGACTACTCTCCTGCCGGGGGTCCTGCCAACCCTTTGTCCTGTGCCGTTGGAGGCCCCGCCGACTACTCTCCTGCCGGGGGTCCTGCCAACCCTTTGTCCTGTCCCGTTGGAGGTCCCGCCGTCTACTCTCCTGCCGGGGGTCCTGCCAACCCTTTGTCCTGTCTCGTTGGAGGTCCCGCCGTCTACTCTCCTGCCAACCCTTTGTCCTGTGCCGTTGGAAGCCCGCCGACTACTCTCCTGCCGGGGGTCCTGCCAACCCTTTGTCCTGTGCCGTTGGAGGCCCCGCCGACTACTCTCCTGCCGGGGGTCCTGCCAACCCTTTGTCCTGTCCCGTTGGAGGTCCCGCCGTCTACTCTCCTGCCGGGGGTCCTGCCAACCCTTTGTCCTGTCTCGTTGGAGGTCCCGCCGTCTACTCTCCTGCCAACCCTTTGTCCTGTGCCGTTGGAAGCCCGCCGACTACTCTCCTGCCGGGGGTCCTGCCAACCCTTTGTCCTGTGCCATTGGAGGCCCCGCCGACTACTCTCCTGCCGGGGGTCCTACCAACCCCTTGTCCTGTTCCGTTGGAGGCCCCGCCATCCTCTGTCTCACCGGGGGTCCTGCCAATCCCATGTCCTGGTCCTCTTCCGTGGGGGATCCTGCCGAGGCCTGTCCCACCAGCTCCGGTTCCTGTCCGGCCGACACCGGGTCCTGCCCGGCCTCCGGCGCTGGCCCGTCAGCGCCTTCCTGCCCGGCCTCCGGAGCTCTCTGGTCTTCGCCCTCAAGCCCGGCTCCCTGAGAGCGGCGGTCTTCGCCCTCGATCCCGGCCCTCTCTGAGCCGTGGTCTTCACCCTCGAGCCCGGCACCCTGAGAGCCGCGGTCTTCGCCCTCGATCCCGGCCCTCTCTGAGCCGTGGTCTTCGCCCGCGATCCCGGCCCCCTGACTATTCCTGCCGCTGCCCTCGTCCTCGAGCCCGGCCCCCTGACTCTTCCTGCCGCTGCCTTCACCCTCATGCTCGGCCGACCGAGTCCCCCACCTTAGACTCTGCGCTCCCGGGCCGTCCGCCCGAATCCCCCTTTTTTAACTCTGCCTTGCCCCCGGGCCGTCCGCCCGAGATCCCTTCCTGGTCCTCTGCTGTGCCTCTAGGCGGTCAGCTCAGTCCCCTCCTCCGGACCCCCTCCACCCACCCTGCTTGAGGTTTTGGACTTTTGTGGGTTTTTTTGGGACGTCTGGGATCCGTCCCTTGAGGGGGGGGTACTGTCACGATCTGTCTTTATGGTGTCTTGTCTTATGTTTTATTTTGAAAGGTCTTCACTTCCTGTCTTGCCTGTTTCTGTCTGCGTTGTGTCTTGTTTAAATCTGTCTGTGGTTCCCTGTTAGTTTCCCTGGTGTGTCTAATTTACCCGATTGTGTTCACCTGGTGTCCCTGTGTTTTCTCCTCCCTCCTCACCTGTGTCTTGTTTCTGTGATTAGTCTTGTGTGTATTTAAGTGCTGGTTTTTCTGTCTTTGTCGGTTCGTCTTTTGTCATGACTTGTTCGTCGGTGAGTGTTCTGTTTTGTCGATGTTATCACCTAGCCTTGAAATAAAGGAATTGTCACTTTATTCTGCATTTGGGTCCTACCTGCTTCACACACCGTGACAGAATGCTCAGGTTTGTATATTCAAAGCTGAGCATTCAGGTATGTAACCCTGACCCAAATCTTTTAGGATTAGGGTCAGGGTTACAGATCAGGTCTCTGTCAAGCCTAAATCAAAGATTTTAGGTTCAGGGTGAGGACATTTGACATTCTATCCTAATTGTTTTTATTAGGTCTAAAATAAGCTGGCACTAATGCAACATCATTGCTCCATTTTAGCTTGATTTATGCACAAAAACAGCCAAATCTTGTAGCTTGGTTTTGTAGTTAAATAATGTATTCTTAAATTCAGTGTATATTCATGAGAAACTTTTATATTGTTCCCAAGATAAACAAATCCTTGTCAGTTTTAAGCAGAATCCAG